CTAAACTGGCAGTGTTTATATCTTTGTATAGAAAGCCTTTTTGCAGCTTTTCACCAAATGAAAACCGTTTTCCGTAATTTAGATGGAGAGAGCGAGGCATTTTCAGTTCTATGCCGTCCTGTTCCATTCATTCTCCGTTACTTATACAAATTGCAACATTTTTAAAGGCCATATTCATGATAATGGTCTCATTAAGTAAAAAACTTTGTATTGTAAGGAGGCTGCACTCGAAGTACTTTTGAGATAATGAAACATGTGTTTGCAATTTAGAAGATGTTGGATTTATACGGAAAACGTGAGACCATTAAGAAAGTATGTTTCTACATATTAAAAAAAATTAGGTAAAAGTGTACATATAAAAATACATTTTAAAAAGAAACATTTGTCTTGTTACATTAGGTTTATTATTGTTTTTAGTTTTGCTTGTACAGAACCGTTTCATACATGCGTAGTAGACTAAAAGAGTAAGGGTTTTCTGAAATTAAGTTATGAAAAAGAGTCCTGTATTTATGGAATTATTGAAATTTGACCGGAGAAGTTCAAGTTCATCTCTTTTAAATGAAGGAGAAGATGTGGTTTTGAACAAATTAACGGTAACAGAACTACAAAAAATACGAATTTTATTGAAATTACAGTTCCAAAAGGGAAAAATTTAATGTTTTTTAAAAGAAACAAAATTTTTATTCATATATCTATGAAAATAATAATTCCTAATGGCGACATTTTACTGAAATTGAGTTATCAGCATCATCTCCATAAGATCTATATTATGATATAACTTGATAAGTCGAATTCCCAAAAATATCAGATATACAAGGCGTGCCCAAACCTATCATATAAACAATTTTGACAAATCATAAATGTTAATTGACAATTAATGTTGATTATTAATGTGTTCGTCTTAATTTCTTCAAAATTATTCTAAAACATTCTAAATTTCTGCCACTGGAGCAACTAGATCTGCGCAATTTTAGACCGGTAATATTTTAAACAGGAACAAATTTATTGTAAACTGGATAATACTAGTGGAGATATAGAGGATTTAGTAGAGAGATATTGCAAGTTTACTTAAGACCAGTCACTATTAGCGCCGCTCTTATTTTGACATCTGATCGTTTTTACGTTCTAGAACTGACTTTATTCCTTAATATACCTTTTCCGTTATTGATGATCTCTATTACTTATGCGCAAATCCTACTTCCTGATAAAATCATCAAAATATGTTGATTTTATATTTCCTACCCCGAATTCCAATTATACATTCGTAAATGTCATTTTTACTTTTATTATTGGTAGGGGACCCAGTGACACTTTTATGTGTATGAAAAATTACAGAAAAAATACCATACTACTGTCACTGAAACTTTAAAAACCTGAGGCTGTGATATTTACGCCTATATTTATGTACAGTCTGTTCGCTATACTTACGCGGGTTTCGGATTAACAAAATTATGCAAATTAGTCATAGACAACCAGTTCCAATAAGCCTCTTCCCAAGAAATTAGGTAAAATTGTCCTAATGGTCAGATTTAAATTAAAATAACATTAGGGTAGGTACCAAATTTGTTACAAATATTGCAGTTGAATTAATTCTTTGCAAGTGTTGACATTGTATGTATATTGTAAATTTAGTGAAAATTTTAAAAATGCCTAGACGTGTGTTAGATGTAGATAGTCTAATTTGTAGTGTACATAAGTATTTTACGGATGAAAAAGAAAATGGCGGTCCTTTAAAATCGGTAATGTCTGTACAACAACGCGTATGCGATGCTCTAGGAATTAGTGAAACCAAATTAACAGGAGTATTAAAAAATCACAATAGTGAACTGCCGAAAGAAGATCACCGCAAAACTCGCCCATCATTGAAAACGAAAAATATTCCCGATGGAAAGAAATTTGAAATTCGTGATACCATTTATCGAATGAGGGCCAACAAGGAACATGTGACCTTAAATACAATTCTCTCGGAATTAATAGATAGAAAATTTGACGACATTGGCAGAACAAGTCTATGGCAAGTGATACATAACTTGGGTTTCAAATTTCAAAAGGAGGATAACAGAAAGGCCCTTTGTGAAAGAAGTTCTGTCGTGCACAAGAGAATTAAATTTTTAAGAAAATATTCTAAATTTAAAGAAGAAGGGGCGAATTTTATATATTTAGACGAAACATGGATATTTTCTAGGGGTGCAACCAAGAGAATATGGCAAGATGATAACGTAAAGTCCATCAAACGTACCGATGGAGAAGGGAAGCGACACATAATTTTACATGCAGGAGGGAAATCGGGTTTTATAGAAGATGCTGATTTAATATTTTCATCTAAATCAAAATCCAGTGACTATCACGATAATATGAACACAGAAATGTTCGTAAAATGGTTGCATGAAAAACTCCCAGGTTTAAGTGAGCCCAGCGTAATTATTTTAGACAATGCACCTTACCATTCTGAAGTATGATACAAAAGTCCAACGAATTCTTGGTCTGTTGATAAAATTAAAGAATGGTTGACAAAGGAACATATACACGCAAAACCAAAAACCTTTGTTGTGGATCAGATTATTGAAAGTTACGGTCATCAAGTTTTACGTCTGCCACCGTATCATTGCCAGTTTAATCCCATCAAATATATATGGGGAATAGCAAAACATTATTATGACAACCATATTGAGCCTAATGGTTATAGTGACGACGCAGTTCGGGAAACACTTTCAATTGCAACTCCAGAAGTGTGGCGGAACTGTATATCCAAGTGCTAGAAACTAATAGAAGATTGGTGGACTCGTGAAAATAAAATAAACGAAATAAGTCCAATCATAATAACAATTAATGGTGATGATAGTGATGATGATGACGATTATGATATTTTGGATGATAATGACTGATTTTCATTTTTGTTGACAAGTACATTTTTTATTTTTCATTTGAAATTCTCTACATGGAACAAATTTTTAAGTTAGAAAATATTTTATTTAAGCTAAATAACCCTCTTATTATACATAGACCATATTTTCTGTGTGAAGTGTAATATAAAATTATTATTTGATTTAGAATAGCCACATTAGACTCCATTAATGAAGAAGTTTAATTCTGCTCTCAATTATACAAAAGATTCTCCATTATTATTTAATTAACAAGTTGTACATTATTTTTTACTTTATTTAACCAGTTGATATTTCCCCAAAAGAACAGGTCAAACTTTTGGGTACTTACCTGGAAATACTCATAAAATTTTTAATCCGAAACCCGTGTAAGTATAGCGAACAGACTGTATATTCTGTATTACCAGTTTGTGTGACTTCATTTGAAAAAATATTTACATCTTTATAAAGAATGAAGATAAAGCATGGACTAGGAAAAATTGGTGACACTTGCACGTCCATCAAGATTTGGATGTAGATATGGAATCTATATCTATATCTGTAACTAGATTCCAAAAATGAAAAAAATATTTTTTAGTTCTACAATGAAGTTCTGGAGTTTTTTTTAATTTTATTTAGTTATTTCTGTATTTTTTTGTTATTAAAAAAATACTAATGTTGACTATAACTTGGGCATAATTACCCCTATTACCCCCTCCTTTATCTACGCCTCTGACAACAGGTATATCGATACGTAATTTCCAGAAGTCTAAACTGATATGGTCTCATTAAGAATGGGACACAGAACAACTAAAGATTCTCTGATTAAAAATAAGACGATTAAACGAAACATGCTTAAATAAAATATTACTGGTTTCCAAACTCCAAGGTGTTTTAAAGTTAAAAATTCCAAAATTATTAATGGCTGTATTTTTTTTTTATTATTTCTCACTATAATTTTATTAAATTTGATAAACATTGTTGGTGTCATAAGATACAGGTATCAGAAAAACAATCAGTTAAATAAAATTTATCAGTGGCGTACAACACGGATAAGTAATACTTTCATCCTCTCTAAATTTTACGCCACTGTCCAAAAACTCAATTAGACTATATACTTTTACATTTATTGTAGTTTTTAAAATAAATCATAAACTCTTGTTGGGAACTCATAAAGTGTTTGGTTTTCGATATATTCACACTCAGAGGTAGATATTCTTCATTTTAATGTATTTTTTAATTTTGTACTTTGATTTTTTTATAAAATTGTACTGAGCAAACGTTTTTGGTGTCATAAGTCATGAGATACACCAATCACAAAAAAAATCAGTTAAATAAACTTTGCCAATGGCGCACGGAATGGGCAAGTAACACCTTCATTCCTTCTAAATTTTACGCCACTCTCCAAAAATTTATTTGAACTATAATTCTAAATTTTTTGAAATAAATCATGTACTCTTGTTGGGAATTAATAAAAAAATCCAAAATTACAAAATTAAAAAATAAATTAAAATGATGAATATCCACCTTTGAGTGTGAATATCTGAAAAACCAATCACTTTATGAGTTCCCGACAAGGGTACAAGATTTATTTAAAAAGCATTAAAAAATGTAAAAGTATGGACCAAATAAGTTTTTGGACAGTGACGTAAAATTTAGAGGGGATGAAAGTGTTACTTATCCTTGTTGTACGCCACTGGTTAAGTTTATTTAGCTGATTGTTTTGCTGATAGGTGTATCTTATGATACCAACAATGTTTACCGAATTTAGTAAAATTATATTAAGAAATAAAAAAATTATAGCCTATAGTAAATTTTGAATTTTAAACTTTAATCGTCTTATTTTTAAACAGAGTATCGTCAGTTGTTCTGTGTCCCACTTTTAATGCAGAATATATCAAGGATGACAAATGTGACATTAAAGATTTAAAAGAGTGCACTCTAGTTTATAAATATTAAATCCGCGTTTATAAAAACAAACCGATACAAGATACATTTTATGAAATTCTGAAACGACTTTTAGTAAAACTCATCATATTAGGAAAATGGGCACGATTTATAACCTACCTTTCGCACCACCAAAATTGATTTAGCCTGGCATCTCATATTTTATTTATTTATTTTTTTTTTTCATTTCAGGTCTGGTTCAGTAATCGACGGGCGAAGTGGAGGCGAGAAGAAAAATTACGCAACCAACGTCGATCTGTCGATCACGTCGGTGCTGTCAGCCCTCCTGCCTCGGCCCCCCGCTTACCAATCAATTCGGGCTTCAATTCCATGTATTCATCGATACCACAACCGATAGCTACGATGGCCGATACCTATAGGTAATGTGGATTTTTGAATTCTCGATTTTTATACTATACGGGTAACTCGAAAATATAATAAAAGTATAACATGGATTCCGAAATAATTTTAGATCAAGTTTTTTAACCTAATGCAATAGAACAATCGACGTGTAACTTTGTGGGTCAAACACATTTCCCAAAGGATCCTTAAACGTAGGTACGTGTCAGTTACATACGAGTAAATTTTAAAAAATAACTTTTATAATTGGGCAAATTATAGAAAATTGTGGTTATATTTCAGTCTTATCAGCTTCCGTGATGATTTCTAATATAAAATCATGTTTTGGAGAAATGGGGAATAAGAATTTTCATGCAGAGTACTTGGTGTCTATAAAACTTTGAATTATTTATATTTATTATTCACTTGCTTCCACTTTTTGTTGAATCATTTAAATAAGTAAATGATATTAAACTGCCAAAATCATTTATTTATAATAATTTTAAAAGCTAGCAGCATCAAATACAGTTATTACATCTGAAAGATGACACTACGACAAATACAATCAATAAATGTCAAAGAACTAACTCTATCGACAAGTACCTACTAGAAAAAATACATTACAAAAGAAAAAATAAATGGTTTATAAAAAATATTTTTCAAAAAAATATATATTTATAGTCAAAAGTTCATTCTTGCGTGCATTCTGTATCTGTAACGTACACTCCATACGTTACCCCATGGCACTAGGCCCATTGTGTATCCTTCTAAATTGATATCTCCTAGCTCGTGAGCCAGCCTACATATTTTAGTTGACAACGTCGTCAAGAGGTGCTTGTCTTATATCGGCCGATATTGGCCGATACTCGCCGAACATAAATCTTCTAATAAATGAGAGCGTCGGGTAATCGTAGAGGATATGCTCGATGGTCTCATCATCTTGTTCACACCCTCTGCAGAGTGCGGATTCTGACACCCACATGCAATGGAGAATGAAGATGTTTATTTGGCAATGACCAGTCAAAATACCTGTGGTCAGGCGCAGATTTTGTCTACTCATTATCAAGTAATTGTTTGGTGTAGTGTTGCCAGGATAACTTAAAAGCTGCCTGGTAACTCTGCAGTTTCTTGTTTCATTCCAGTTTTGCTTTAATTAATTCTGTCACTACCGATGTTGTCAGTTCAATAGAAGGATCATATCCAAAAATTAATCATATTTCAACAGTTCTGTTCATAAATTTCTTTTAGTTGATTTATTTATTAGTTTGTGGATCAATAACATTAATTTTAATTTGTTAATGATAATGCTCTACACTTATACATATCGCAACTCATGTTTATTCCTATAGATGATTGTTCCTACTACCATATCGTTTGATTGTTGATGGTGTTACATTCATCATCATTTACTTGGAAGTAGAAGTACAAATCAACATCACTAATACCCGTATGCATAGTCGATCGCCAGCGATTCGCTGGCGAAAGCCCGAAAAGGTGGCGACTTGCTGGAGTTTGTCACCGGCATCTCTCGCATGTCATTCATGATTATCAAATTTTTCCCCATAAAAGAACATGAAAACTAATTTTTCCTATAAAATAACATAATAAAACTTGCGAGAAATGACAGTGACAATCTCCAGCAAGTGGCCAGCGATTCGCCAGAGATTCATTTCGGCGGTGTCATCAGAGATGTCCTCTCCTTTTTATTTCTGTTTGTTTGCTACTAATCGCCCTACATATTCTTACAAATTCTTGTGGGCTATTTTCAGTTCTGAATTACTCTCACTAGCCAATCTACTAATTAATTTCTAATTTAACTCTGATGAAATGCTTTTATAGTTAAGGTTTGTAGTCTTGTAACTTTTTTATGGTTGCCGCCAATTTGTAACAGGGTACATATTTTGAGTTTCTTTTCTGATATCGTTATGGTAATTTTTAGAACCCAAAGAAATAAGATTCAGCAACAATAAATAATGAACGAAGAAGCTTTTCAAGATGTCTATTAAATTTGGATAAATAACATATTTGAAGACTAACCTACCAATTAAAAATTTCTTACTTGTGTCAGATATTATTTTTGATTTTTCGCAACTGAGTTTTAATAATAACCCACATGAAACTAGTCAAATCCGGCCCTTGTGCAATGTTTACTTCGAATCAAAACCAGAATCAGAAATCCACTTAGTCATCGAATGATCTCCGCATGGGCGGGCATTTGTTTGTATACTATGCGGAAGACGAGTGCCTCTGAAGGCACTGAAGGAACACAACGAGGCCAAATCTGGAGCAGATGTGCATTAGCGGTAAATAGCAGAGAATCAATCGCTCCATCTAGTGTGAAACGATCTAATGCGTTCCGCATTTGGTACTTAAATCAATTAAGCTTGTTAATCTTCCTTGACCAGATTTGCAATATTCGGTGCGGTTTGATTAATTCGTACACAGCCGTCATTATTGCCTAATTAGGGCTCATTTACAACTGATTATTTCTAGTGCATAATTAAGGGTTATAAATATAGATGATTGGAAATAGGAACAACAAAATAAATATTCACCTGGATAGATAAAATTCATTTGGTTATCAAACACATTGATGTATATAAAGTTTTGTGGTGTTTGTTTGTTTAATTTAAACAACAGTTTAATTGTTAATAATTTATTTGAACACTTATTGTTCACTATTTATCTTCACATCTGCATACGACTGACTGCTGCGTTGTTCCTCTACCAATATTTAAGTACACGTTTCAAATTATGGTGGTGGTCTCGAACGTTCTTGCCAAAACTAGAAACATCTATCTGGAGTGTACTCGAAAGCGCCTTCGCCATAGTCGTCACATATGTTTGGTCTTAAGGGGTTTAATTATGTATGATAATCGGACAAGTTGAGCCTCAAAGGCCAAATAATACTTGGAGAATTAGAGCATGACTGAATAATGAATGGCTCGTATTATAGTATATTGCAATTTATAATCTACTCTAAAATATTCAATTGTTTTCAATTGGATTTATGAAATAAGCGATCAATTAAGTTTTAAGTGGCTTTGTTTACGGCATCTGATTTTTGAGTTGAACGTTTGAAACTCTTAGATACTCAATGGTTTTCTGCAACCTCTTACCTGGTACTAAGCTCATCATTTGTGTTTTTTGTTTCAATTGCTCCTTTTATAACTTTTATATTATTTATCTTCAGATTTTACTACATGTTATTAATAACATGGACAAATACTGGATTTTGAAGTGAAAGTAATTTATGTGGATTTGTTGTTTAGGTACTTTTATTGGCCATTGCTGCAGCCAACATAGTTAGATGGGCTTCTAGACTTTTTGATGCTCTTATATGATCTGAGGTTGTTGACTTGGTTGCAGTATTATCTGCAAATGTAGTATTCACTCATGAACGTTGAGGTTATCCAAGAAAATCAAACATTTCGGATTAGAGTTATGTGATATTTGGTTACTTTATATTTAGTTTGTATTTACATTTCCTAGTTTATTTTATTTTCTGTTGCCCTACTAAGGTGTAACTACTAGACTAGTGCGTAGGACTTTAGTTTCAAGAATAATTAATTTAAGGTGGAACCAAATTACATTGACCCTACTTTTGATTAGATTGTTATAGTAGTAAATAGTAGGTACCTACATTTTGAGAATGACTGTTCTATAAAAAAACGAAAGTGTCTTTGTCCTTAGTATTCCTTCTCCTTTTTTGGATGTGTATGTGCAACATTTTCTTATAATGTTAAATAAATAGGTAATTACCACGTTTGAAAAATACCTTATGTACAAAATATTTTTTTTAAATACCGTAGTTTTCAATTTCGATTTAATATGCTATCCAAATAAAAAATCAAGAAAAACGAATTCCACAGCGGCCAGTTTTAAGTGTAATCCTGTTTCTGGTAGCTATAAATAAACGTAAATCTCTAGTAAATGCTAAACATTCTGACGCTGATCAGGATATCTTCACAAAGACTTATCACACCCTATATATTTAAATCACTAAAACAAACTCACAGAAAATTATCTGATATATTCGGTTCTTAGGTTTGTCTCTGGATAGATGATATTGTAACGTTTGTTTAATTTATTTATGGTTTATTTATTTAAAACACTTTATTTATAATTTCTAATTTATTTATTACAATTTATCTTTTCTATACAGCACTTAAATTAAATCTTCTATCGACAAAATCGCGTCTACTCTGAGTAAATTATCTACACGCGTAAAACTGCGATGGAAAACATTCGAATCGGTTTCTCGAGTTTCGAGATGGGTCTCGGTGTGGCCAGCACTAGACTTCCTGTCGCGTGTACGGTAATAAACCAAGAACAGGGTTGGATTCACGTCACATTGTCCCCTCCTTAAGAAATAGATCCTCCTGAAACTAAAACTGAATGATTGTATCTGTAACTGAACCCACTTTTAAAATTTCCATTCGTATGGAAATAACAAGGGACGGTTTTTACTGAAACCTGGACACTAGTCGAAGGGCTGCAAACTAGTATTTGGACCTTGGAATGTTTGAAGATTATTTTCACCATGTTTTTAATGATCCACCCTTTAGCTGGTTGCTCTCTATCTTGGGCACAGCTAGTTTTTGTACATTGGACTCCATTACGTGCTCCCTGAATAATGCTTCCCATACATCATGATAAGTAGATCGATCTCGGAAGGTGTTTTTCGTTACCAGAAATAGAAAATATAACGCGATCCATCTTGAAGTATCAATGTTTTGCCAGGGGCTGGTAACTGACCTTGAAGTTCTGGCAATCGACCAAACTTCTTCCGGAACACAGATGCTAGACCTCGAACGTTGTTGATGTTGGAGGAAATGCTATGGACCACCGTGTATTCTTTAGAAATCGAGAGCAGATCTTGTTATTTTTCGATTATAACACCATGTCTTGCTTTTCCGGTACCTAAATGTGTACCCATAAATTCTTCAAAGACAAGGACAGGTGATTCTTGGAGTTGGTTTACTTCTTCCTCGTCATGGTTTACCTCAAATAGAGTCAATGGTTTTGGTGAACTACCTTC